TAAACGTATTAATATTAAACACATTTGATTAACAAAATATGTATGAAACTAAACTAAATAAAGAATATCTTTAAACTCCATATGCAGAAGTTTCAAGGATATTAAGAGATAGAGTGAATATTCCAACTAAGCAATTCAATTTCTCTTTTTTCTTTGTCCTTTGTATTCATTCGAGCATGCAAGCAGAATAGATGACGTATGAGATGAGAATGTATTACGTAATTAATTTAAAATTTTTGATTATAATTAATTATATGAAAAGCTTATTCTTGAAAAATTCTTTTGTTTGTATCAATTAAATTTCAATAAAATATAAATGTACATTAATAAATAATAGGAAAGAATTTTAGTAAATTAAAAAATTCCGAATAAATCTATATATCTATCTAATTCCAAATAATCCAAATATATATATATATCTATATTAAAAAAAAATATTAATTTAAAAATTTTAAGAATATACGAATATCCTTTATTTAATTTAATTTTTCTTTATATTTAATTAATTATTTTCTGGAAGATTTTATATCTTTTTTATTCAATGACATTTTTTATTTTGAATAAATTTATTTATTAAATTAAATTATTCATTAAATTTGAAAAATATTGTACATAATAAGATTTTAAATAGCAAAATAAGAAAGGAACACAAACCATTTAAGAATTAATCTTTTAAATATTATAAAATATTTAAATTCCTTTCTGGAAATACTATTGTAATATATGCGCTTTATAATGATTTTTCATAATTTTAAACTATTATGAAAATATTAGGAGATTATATCGAAATATTTGTTGGACATAAATATCATATTTATGGCTTTTCTCAAAGCAGTAAATTATTATATTTGACACTTTTAATTATCCTTTAAATGAGGGTTAATAGACTTAAATCATGTTTTTCTCTTTTGTTTATTCTTAATGTAAATTTTATATAAAATAAATATATTACTAAATATATAAACATAAAATATATATATAAACATATAAACATGTACTTGCAAATAAGAAATTGTGTCAAAACAAAATAATTAAGAAATGTAACAACTATTTTCAATATATTTTCATAATTATGGATAACATATTTAACTTTATATAATGTATTTTTATATTGTATGCAATTTTAAAACTTGTAAATAAAAATTTTGTAAATTAATTATATATGCAATAAAATCTTATTAAATATATAATTTACGTAATATTAAAAGGGTTAAGAAATCATTGATATAAAATAATTGATGCATTTAGATTTATATATCAACACTGTTGAAAAAATTGTGTCAATCATATACTAGGTTAGTTATTCAATTCATGATTTAGATAATTTAATTATTTAAAAGTGCATATATTAAATGTTCGTAACATTATATGTAATGCAATATTTTTAATTTATAACAAATATTAAATTTTATAATATAATATAATACAAAAGATTAAAATTATTATCAATATTATGTTAAAATAATTAAATAGCACAGTACTCACAGTAAACTAACGTTACCACGAAGTCTGTTCAATGAATAACGCTGTCCAATAGTTTCGAAACACTACCCGACATCCAAATTTTCCGCGTTACACTGTGTGAGTAGCGTTTTGCCAACTGAAGAACGAGTAAAAGTTACAAACAGTTATATATACTTCGTCGCGCGTTCGTTGACTGGTGTACGGTATTGATCAAGGTAAAACGTTTACTTTATTGTTATCGTTTGAAATATTATTTGATTTGATCTTTCAGCACGAGCATGTTCCAACATGCAGGGCCATTTATAACTACTACCGCGCATGTGCTTTCTTCAGTAAATAACACGTTAGTTTTTCGTAAGTTTTTTTAAGTTAAAAATAACACATTTGTTACAATTTTCTTTGTACACTTCAAGGCAACGATTCATCAACTGGAGAATTCATCTTGGACGAAAGTCAATCGAACGTTTGAAATTTTGTGCTGACATTGCAGAAATAAACTTACAACGCTATCTATGAACACAGAACAAAATTATGAAATCGGTTAAAACTCAGTTAATTCGGAAGCATTCACTTTCACCATAGACAAAATACAAAATAGATATGATATCTTATAATTAAAATATATTATATATGTTCTGAAATACCGACCTTTTGATTATATTAATAATATTAATAATATAAAATTATAAAAAATTTTATTCTATAATTTATTTCAACTATTTCAACTATTTTTCAATAATATTGCGATCTCATATATTTTGAATCAATAACGTTAAAAAATTTACTAAAATAATAATTACTAGGGAATTATGTTCTATAAACATGGAACAAAATATTTAGTAGATGTCGAGTCTATTATATATTTAATCTATGATATCTATTTGAATCATACATAAGATAGTTTAAATATAAGTTTTGTTAATATTAGATAAAGAATGTGTATATATACATATTTGTTAAAAATTATACTATAAACATAATGATGTATATAATTCAAAACTTTTATATGTTTTCATTTCTTGAATATTAGGATTGTTTCAGGTCAGTTTTTTAAATTATATGAAAATGTAATATCTTAAATTTATTTGGTTTCATGTAGTCAACAAAAAACATTTTTTCGTAACGATCTTCATTATAAAAAAAGTTTATTATTCGTAGCTGAGGTGACGCGTAGTACATACATGAGGTTTTCAACTACAACAAGTCCTATGATTTCACTATTTACAGACATGGGTCATGTTGTAATATTAATATCTAATATTAATTAACATAATTCAACGTTACAACTAAATTATTATTCATTACATTAAGATCTATAATATTAATGTTCAAAAGATTCATTTTCGCGCAAATCTTATATAATTTTAATTGTCACTTGTTATTTTCTAGTACGTGTTCTGTAGTGCAGTATAAACTTTACTAAAAAAAATTTTCCGCGATGTTCAGTTGTCAAAATTCGATAATTCGTGTAATGTTTCTCTCATAACAATGTTCAGTCGCTGAAAAAAGAATAAAATTTTTTTCACCGAATATATTTTATGCTTAAACTTTTCTAAATAAACGACTACACTTACAGTTACGTACACGCAAATGCTTAAAAACGCTTTGATAGAAAAAGTATCATAAAGCGAGCATTGATTGAAATTAAAAAAAAAAAAAAAAAAAAAAAAAAAAAAAAATAAAAAAAGAAAAATATAAAAAAAAAAAACAAAAGACAAAAATCTTCTGGATTGTAATAAATATTATTTTCGTAGACATCAAAAAAAGGTACTATTTCAATAGTTACAATACTCATACTTGCTTTCATTCAAAGTATAAAAATATCTGTGTAATTAGTACTTACATAAATTGTTGTCCTAATATCAAATAACTATACGCAAGTGCGTTTTTCACGCTTTGTCGTTATCAAGATTTACAAAACTTCGCATTCAATTTTTTCACTTCGCGCTAATCGCTTATTTGAGCAAAAATAAAAAAGTTAATAAACATTTTTATTATCGATGTATTTCAACTATTCTACGTACGAAAGAAAAGCTTTGTTTGCAAAGAAGAAATACAATTTTCAGAAGTATCAGAGAGATCATAAGAACGAAATTATTTAAGAAAAAAGATATTACGTAACAGTCACCTTCGACGTTGCTTTTAAACTTTGTGAAGGTTTAATCTATCATCGAACTTCTTTTTCTTCCTTGAGTATTTGCGACGAGCAAAAGAATTGTAAACGATAAAATGGCACCCTGAGTTGAAGAAGCACGGTTTATTTAGAAACGCTATTTAAGTACTTAAGGTGTTAAGATCTTTTCTTCGCTGCTGTCTGTTATTTCATAGATAGAGTATAACAGTTATGGAATCGTTTGAACAGCTTTGTGGAATGTACTTTGATCGAGGTATAAAATTTTCATTTCATTTTCAGCGTCGCAAGACTGATTCTATTTCTTTTTCTTTATCATTTGTTACGAATGTGACGCCCTTGTCGGATCTTTTTTAACAGCCGACACACCTGTTGAATTCGTGATCTTATAAGCATTGCCCTTCACCTCGGCGGGGTGTTTATGAGTACTCGTCGATGATTTCCTCGGGGGTTTAGTGATTTGCGTTGTAGAAAGACCGCTAACTGGATATTTATTTCTACTAGATGTTCCGCCATTGCTGCTTCGCGTGCCGTTCTTTGAAGACGTCGAGGAAGTCGGCTCAGCAGGATGCTTGGGCATAACAAACGCTTTCGTTTGTTTTAATAGATATCGATCATTACACAACGCTGATATTAGTGGCAAATCTAAATTACGGCTTTTCTCGCGAAGTGTTCGAATATCCAACATTCCATCTTCTTCCCTTCTTCACGTTCCTCCACAGTATTGTTTTCAACGTCTTCTTCGGTGAAGAAGATGACGAAGAGGCGGACGGAAGTGGTTGATTCTTTTCAAGATTCTGAAAGTAAATAAAACAGTAAAAATAAAATACTTGGTTTAAATACTTGATTAAAGAATTGTATGTATGTATATTATAAATTTTTATACATATAACGACATATTCTTAATAATTAATATTAAAAATTAATAATTTACATATAGTGTTATGCAGATATAATATATACCAACATCCTTTTATATAATTTTTATATATTATTATATAATGTTTAGTTTACCTGAATTTCGTAAGGTGGTGGTGGTGGAGGTGGCGGAAGTCTGCGATGTTTCAATTGCGGCAGAGACTGCAGCTTTGTGTTAGAAGATGAATCGAAACACTTCAGTATGTTCTCGTCGCTTCTTGTTCTGGAGAAAGCGTGGAGCGTATGAGTATGAGCTGCGGCTGATGGTTCACGTCTAAGACTTTGACTTCCTGTCGATGAACAAGTAGCTCCACTATATAGCGAACTTGTACTAGCAGCATAGTGGCTACTCAGGTTACTATGCGGTAAATAATTGTTAGAGCTCGTATCGCTGCTACTGAGATTTTGATTTGAAGCGTATTTTGTGGGTGATGAAAACGAGGAACCAGGAAGATATGGTGTGCTACGATACATTACTAATGATTTATTATTAAACGAAGGATAAGGAGGTGGTGGATAAGCAGCCATGGCTGCCAAAAGTGATCCTTGCTTTGCGTCGATGTATTCTTGTTTCGATACTGCGGGATCTTTTAAAGGAACATTACGTAATCAACGTCTGAATATAATTGTTGCTTATATTGTTCGATCTGCGATCTTGCAACTTGACTCGTGTAAACGGTAGCTAAGCTGGGTGGTGGAGGCGGGGGTTGTCTAGGATGTATCATGGGTGGTGGAGGAGGTGGCGGAGGTGGCGGTGGTGTTAAATAAGGTAACAAAACTGGACCACCTCGTGAAGCGTGAACGTCCAAATAATTGTTTGGTCCAACAACAAGAGCTGCGACGGGAGCATGAACCGGCGTGGGTTTCATTTTGTCACCAGGATAAGTGGGTGGTTGAATCCTGGGTGGTGGTTTCGGAGCGATTGACGCAATGTCGTTGTTTGAGTGGTGTTGGTAGTCTTTGAAGCTGTCAGAGTGGCATTCATTTTGGTATTTGTTAGACCCGTTTGTATTTTCGTCGATGTTACCCTTGACACGATTTCTTCACTTGGATACAATTTGGAAATTGCTTCTTGTCGAGTGACTTCCGAGACTTCAGGATAAGGTGGTGGAGGTGGAGGTTCTCTAGGTGTCACCGCATCATTTCTTGGAGGTGTAGGCGGTGGTATTTGAATTCTTTCTCTTGGTGAAGTATATGGTGGTGGTGGTGGTGGATCAGTTCTTCGTGGTGGCAAAGGTATAAATTCACCGCGAGTAGCATTATATGGAGGTGGAGGTGGAGGTTCTCTTTCAATATCGGGTATGTTCGACCGTGATGAATTTATCGTTGCATAGTCCATGTTCACTGGGTAAGGAGGAGGTGGAGGAAGTTGTCTGTCGCTATCGGTTCTAGGTGGTGGAGGTGGTGGAGGCATAGTAACGTAATCGCAATCAGAGTCCATAGAATTGCTAATAGTTTTTCGAGGGGGATAACGTCCAACAATCAAATCAGAAAGTTCATCGGCTGATAACAGAGGTCCAACACTGGAAGGATCACTGCCGTCACCTCTGAAGCTTCCTGCACTAAGTATACTATTGCTACGTGATCTAGAATCTTCGAGTTGTTGATCCAAAGGGACTGCCGAGATTGTAGACATCATGTTATTGACATCTTCATCACCTTTACAGACGCTGTAAATAGGTTCTTGATCTTCTGTACCCACATCTTCCGTATAAACGTCGCTAGTTTCAGATCTAAGACCACTGTGTATGGTATAAAAACCGGATGTTACAGAAGCTTCGTCGGTTGTAGACTGTACGGAACTTAAGGCACACACGTCACTCGCTGTGGAAGATCCATTCACATCACCGGTAGGTGAATATAGATCTGCCATTCTTTCATCTTGCATTTCACTACTCCTGAGTGTATAGACTCCACTAGTTTCACTCGCAATATCAGTGCCTAAAAAATAATTTCATATAAATAATATTAATTAAAAGTGAATTTATAATAAATAAATATATTATCATATACATACTTCAATGATGACTACATTCAATGATAGACTACTCCATTATATTTTTCTTTTTGTATATTTTTTTTTAATAAAAGTAAGAAGTCAGATTTTAAAGATAATCTTGTTAAATTTTTTCTTAATTAATAAATAAATTATAAAACAGAATTATTAAGAATCAAAGATTATTTATATTTTTAAATGATATGTAAAAAATCAGTAAAATATTACAATTATAAATATAAAGTATTATTATTCCACAAATAATTATCTTCATTTTATATTTTTACTATACAAGTATATTATTGTTTTTTTTTATTTCTTTTCTATTCCTTTTAATTTAGATTTCATTATATCTTTTCCATTTTAAATTATTTTTTTTTCAGCAAAAACAGAAAACTCATTTACCTGCGTATTTACCACCTTTCTTGCACCTGTCGTAAATGGCGCCAGGAAAGCTAGCAGTTTCTGACGAAACTGCTGAATTCTGTGCCGTATGCGAATAACCAAGCTCCAAACTGGAAGTCGCGGATGTGCGCCGCATTCGCGGCGGTCCACCAGCAGGTGTATTCACAACCACGACCGTACTGCAGCTGCTGCTACATTGTGACCCTTCAGCCGCCGTAGCTGCACTCGATGCTAATCGTAACGCAACCGTTGTAGGGGTGCTGTCCGTACCATCAACTTCTAAGAATTATACGATTATTTATAAGATTACACGACTAAAAGTATATCATTATTTATTTTGATTTAGAATTTTGTGCTAATTAATTACTTTATATTAAATATAAAATAGAATTTTATCATTGATCTTTTTCAAGATTTGGTTAAAAAATTAGTTATCATTTATCATAATTTTAATCAAATAATTACACGACAAATACAAAAACACTATTATTTTCAGAATGGAAATAAGTATACCATCCACAGTGGAGACTGGGGATGACGGCATGGAACGATCCTCGACGTCTGCATTCGATCCATTTACACCGCATTGAACACCGGAGTGTGAAGTATTTTCAGTAAGACGTGGCAGACATTCGGTCGAAGCGGGCGCCGTATCTGGCTCGTCCTCGCTATGAACTCGATCGCTAACAATTCCAGAAGTTGTGTTAGACGATGTGCTCGAGATAACAGAAATTCGTTGGTCACCGCGCGCCCCTCGTGCTGTTAAGCTCAGCTTGCATCGCGCAGGATACATATAGCAGTCGCGAAGTACTTTTCTCTCTGAGGATGAAAACAGAAAATTTATCTTCTGGATAGAACTGGGTTTCATTTTTAATATCAACTAGACAAAAAAAAAAAAAACGAAAATTTAAACGTAAAGAGGATACAAAAAGAATGGTAAATAGAAAAAGAAAAATCCTATTATCCTAACTATAAATAAATTGTTAAAAATTAGTCATTTCACAATCAATCAAATAATATTCAACTAACCTTCCTCTTCTCGCCTCTTCGCTTCATTTACTCTAGGTGCTATGGCCATGGAGAACTGATGGGTGTCTCGACAGAGTCCCAGAAGCAATTTGCTTTTGTCATCGCACCCACTGTAGAGGGTGAGCTTGTCCGGCTGGTCGACTGCGCGTATCTCAAACTTCTTGCGCTGTGTATAAACGCAATAAAAGTCAGAAGGATTTCGTCATAAATCAATTTATATAGACTAATAAGAAAAATTGCAAAAGCAACATCAGCTTGAACTGTAATACTTGAAAAAATCTAACTCTAAATCAGAAAACTAACGTCGAAGCAAAGTTTGCCGATATTGTTCCAGGCAAAGACACGCGGTGTCTCCTCCTCGGCGTAGACTCGCACCCCACGAGCGCAAATCGCGAGGAGTATACGTCCAGGACCTGCCTCGTTCTTGCTTCTTCGCAACCGATAGAGGTGAGCGTTGAGCGGCGCCTCCAGCAGCACCGCCTCCCGGATGTATTGCAACTCTGCCTCCTCCCTCGAGAGGCCCCGATTGTCCCTGTGCTGTGCCGCGAGCACGGCGAGCACATTCGACTCGAGACACATCTGGTAAACATAATTATTGATTCCGTTAAATAGGAATTCAACGATTCCTCAGGCACGTATGTATTTAGAAATTGAAGTGTTCGATTTGTAATATTTTATTTTATCATCAATATCGAGAATAGATCTGCATTCCGGTGAGTAAATTTTAAAAAATATATCTTCAACGAGAAATTGAAGATTTATTTTATGTTTAAATAAATCGATATTGCGTATACTGTAATTTAATTAATTACTAAATAATATATACTATGTTGTATAAATTGTCAAAAATTATTATCTTCTAAATTATGGAGGATATGATTATTTTTAATTATATATAGTATATAAGAATTAATCATTTATGAAAAAAATATAAACTATACTACTCCTTAATTATGTATATATGTTCACTTTAAAGTTCATTCACTTTGCAGAGATTTAACTTACTCACCCCAAGAGGAATAGTGAAACGAAAATGATAAAACTCGAAATTTCTCAGATATCAATTTTCAAAATATTGGATGGAAAATTTTAATCAAGTATGCTGCACAGATGTTCACAATTTAACATTGTTCAATACTAAAAATCTGAGTAAAAAACTCACGTGAGGCGGAAGGTAATCCGTGGGTTTGCAATATCCCACAGGTCCTGCGTGTGGTCTATGTCGTTCCTCGGAATAGTCGCCAAGATCGGCTTGTAGGGCAAGACCCGCGAGTGTGAGCAGGGGCGTAACGATAGAAGGTTCATGCAAGGGATGGTGAGGATGGAGGCTCTCCACCCCACCGCCATGCCTGACGACATTGTCGCGCAGTTGCAGGTAATAGTGGTGACGCGTCGTTTCATCGCTAAAATGGTAATCAAATGGTTAGTCTCGTTTTCGTTTTACGTGATTAAGTTAGGTTATATCGAGCAAGTTTTTGCACGAGGACCCATACATCGAGAACAAGTTTCTGCCTGTTAATTTGTACGCTCGAAGATGTTCTAGTTATACGATGCGTAAACACGGGGTAAAAAGTTGTATAAAGTCTTGCATATAAAGTGACTATTATAACGAGTCTAAGCTTTTTAAGAAAATTTCAAAGGAAAAATAATAAAAAAAATTTATATCGAAGAATATATAACAGGGGGAAAAGATTCACATTTTCGAATAACTTAGTTACACTCGCACCGATATTTCACTTGATGTTTATAATTTTAAAAAATTGACGAGATAAAAATTCGTAGAAAAAAGTATCTTCGCACAATGTCTCGATTTTACCGAAGGAACTGAAGCAACGTTTATAAACAATCTAAATAATATCCTTTCGATAAATAATCATCCTTTTTCGATAAATTTGTTCCCAAAGAAGTTAAAGGTGGATCAAATAGATGGAAGATAACGTAGGTGACAAGATTAAAAATGAATGAAAATTGTGTAGAGGAATTAACGAAAGATCGATTCGAGTCCTTTCACGAATTAAACCCTCGTCGACGTGCGGTGAATACGGCGTGGTTGGATGTAAATCACGGGTTTCAGGTGGAAATCAGAAAGCAACTACGGATCAGTATAATTACCGGGACGAGTGCTTTCATTTAATGCATACGGTCTATCTATCACGCGCCACGTAATAATTTATAATTACAAGAGTAGGTAGCACTTAGCTACCGGACAGGAGTCGAGATTTCGTTTCGTGAGACCTCTCCAGCGAGCCACCCCTTTCTATTTTCTTTTTTATTCTTTATTTTTACCACCTGTCTATCTTGCTCTTTCTCTGGAGAAGGCTTTTTTTTTTTTTGTATTTTAGAACGATGATTTAAAATACGTATATTTTTTAATCATTGAATGTACGGTTACAAGAATAATATTGATTCTTAAGAATTAACTAGAAAATTTTAATATAAAATATTTTGTCAGAAACCTTAAAAATCCAAAATGCCTTTTTTTTTTTTTTTCTAATTTTATAATGCAATTCTTTGACACACAAGTGTCAAATGTAACAAATAATTTAGATTTCTTACTTATTTTCTACCAAAAATAGCCATTTCCTATCTCATTCTCTATTACTTCCTGTAAAATTAATCTTTATTTTTCTAATAAACATATATACACGCCGCTAGCTAGCAGCAAACGTGTTCGATCGGTTCGACGTTGTCAAATTCTCCCCTTCCTTCTCCAACTTTCTTGCCTTTCTTGCCTGCCTTTTCAATTTAAATCGTATCCTTCGTTCCATCGCCTCTTTATCGATCGTCACAACAAAGCGAGGAACCCTTATAATCGTGTGGCCAGGAAAAAGGGAGCAAAAGGTAGATGCAGAAGGTCGGCAGTAGGCTACGCAGGTTTGGCAGTTTGGCCACGTACGGTGGCACCGGGGTAGTATTTGAAGCGGAACGCTAATTACTCCGATTAATTCTGCAATCCATTTGGGGGCCTGTCCGATGGCCGGAGCGTCCTCGGCTAATTTAGCTTCCTACGACTGGCCAACCTCTTTCGAGTGAATAATTTGTCAGCCGGTGTAGCCTCGAACCGACTACCGGAGTTTTTATTCGCCCTTCGACCGGATCCTCTCTTGATCCGACCACGACTCTCTCTCTCTCTCTCTCTCTCGGCTCCCTCGGCGTTAAAACGAGTTAGAGTTAGGTATTGAGCAATGGGTATAAAGGCGAAGTTAGTATCGATAGTAACGAATCGTGGAATTATGTAATCAGGCAGAAATGTGACTACTGCCTATTAAGAATCTTGTTACCTTAGGAGCAACGGTGTGTCGACGTAGTAGCGGACGCGAAAGTAGAGGACGAAAGCTGGCCTTCCGCTGCTGTCCAAGCCCTGAAAGTTATTACGTGGAATAAAGATGTTATCAATCGATATTAATCGAATGTTGTCCTTTCGAAAAAATTTGAAAATTTTATCTGTTCTATTGTTTACTAGATTATATGGGATCAAAAAAATTGATTAATTACTAATTAATTATTTAATACTTGATACGAGATATCGAGAATGTTGAAAATATAAATATCGATTAACGTTATCTGATAATCGATAAAAGGGGATTATGCATATGGGAATATAAAACGGTGTAAAAGGATAAAATGATTGCGTGAAATTAAGGCGAATAAAATATATATATATATATATATATATGTATATATACGTTGGTATAATTGTATTCAAAAATATTTTAATATACGCCTATAAATATACGACCAGCTTTATTGGAATTCGATCAAACTGATATACAAACTGATACTTTTTTTTTTTCTGCTATGTCGACATTATTCTACTCCATTAATTAACTATGCAAATGAATTTTTAATCGGTTGACTAATATAAAAGACACGTTTCAGGCAGAATTTTTTTTTTTTTTTCGTATACAGATTTTATTGGAATATTTTAAAACTTTTTAATCTTTAATCGTTATTTAAAGATTATAAATTTATAAAATGTATAAAATAACATTTCTTAACGAAATACTTCGCATGCTTTGTAAATAATAACGAATAAAAATTAATTTTGGATTAATAGAACGATCGCTCCGTTTTTAATTAATATCGAATTAAAAATTTATTCCAATTAAATTATTTATCAGCTTATTATATACACGTATGTGTCTGAATTTATCGAGCGCGATAAATTTTTAAATCGGAGAATTTTTAACAGAATCTTAAATCACTTTTAATTTGCATATTCATTAGAACATTATCACCGATAGAGAAATTTTAATTATCGAATCTGGATCATTTAACACGATAACGTCATCCTTTATATCGAATATGCAAAGTATCCAATAATCTATAAACACAAATGGTATTTTGATTCTTTATATCGGTATAATTTACCGATCGCGTATCCTAGAAAAGATTCTGACATCAATACGTTCAAATCAAGAACAGAATACATCCTATTAGTCATAATCCAAGTCCTACACCTTCTAGGCCGTACAGGTAAGCAAGACAATGACCTGTTTTGTTAATTGAATTGTTTCCGCGCGAACTAGAATAAGTAACGTGACACGACGCGTCCATCAACTAAATCAAACAAAAGAAACCGCTCGTATTATCCGCTCGTTGAATCGATAACACTCGATATCGTTGCCCACGTTTTCTTCACCACGTAATTTAACGTTAATTGTGTTCATTCAGATTACGAGTCGTGGTGTAAATCATCATCGCTGCACCGCTTCTCGGATTTTTTTTTCGTTTCCAACGAACGTTGGTTGGTCAAAAGATCACAGGTGTGCAGAAATTTGAAAATATCTGATCACCGAGCGACGTGTTCAAAATCTCTTAGCTAATTCTCAAGTATATTCCCCTAGAATGTTCCTGGGCAATGGAAAATTATTTTTCCTGGAGTTTGAAGATCGCAGGAGTGGCGAAAAATTTCGAGAAACTTTTGATTACGGATGTAATCATTACTCGAATATCATTAAGCGAATCTTGTAAACTAGTAGGAATCGGGTTCAACTTTGGCGGCGAAAGAAAAATCGCCATACCACGTGGGCGGAAACCACTCAAAACCGTGAATATGCCCACGCGGGCCCACGCGTTTTCGAGCAAGGTAGCTACCTAAATATTCCGTTCCACGAAAAAAATAAATTTAAACAAAGACTTTCTACCCGAGACTTTCATCAAATCTGTTCAAAAAAATCGGATTGGATTCGGCCAGATCCAAGGCAAACAACCATTTTTTAATTTTGTTCCGTTTAATTATGTATAACATTATTTTGGAACAAATTGTAAAAATTGAACGAAGAATGAGAGAAGAGAAAAAGAAAGGAAATCAAATCAAATAATAATCTCTAATATTAATATTAATCTCTTTAAAAGGATAATAAAGGGATATAAAGAATAAATGAAAATAAGAATAAATATATACATATATATGAATAGTGTATCATTCTTCCAAATAAATACAAAATGATCCAATATTCTGAGAATATTCGTTTCGACGATGAAATCCCCACCCTCTCCCCGATCGTAAAAA